CTGTTGCTGCTGCTGTTGCTGCTGCTGCTGCTGCTGTTGCTGCTGTTGCTGTGGTCGTCTTCTCCACTGCTGGGAGTAAAAATGTGAACTTTTCCAGGTCAGCTGCTCTTCCATGGAAGAAGCCGGAGTTAGTCCTGGATGTTTGGATTCTGCTGAGGTCTGTGATTGTTAATGGACTGATGAGGAGCAGAGGAGCAGCTGTCAGATGTTCTGATGGAGTCATCTCACCCACTCACTCACTCACTGACTCTCACTCCTCCCCAGGATTAATTGTCAGTCAGGCTACAAGTTGTAAAAACGCACCATGGGTTGTGAAAGTTGATGGAGGGTTTCTGAGAACACCTCTACTCATCCCTCCCTCTGCCCCTCCTCCTCCCTCCCTCCACCCCTCCTCCTCCCTCCTGCTGCTGCTCTGGGAGTTATTCTAAAAGAATATGACCTCAGATAAGGGGTCGGTGTGTTTCCAACACACTGTTGAAAGCAGGAACATTGTACGGCTGTTTGTGTGAGATCTGAACACTGATCCACTGGATGGTCGTAAATATAAGGAGGAGCTCATGTTTCATCCAAACTCCTGTTAAGCTGTTAAAGTTATATAAAATCCCACACTATTACAAGGTGTGTATTGGCAAGAATCTGGTGAAACAATTTGTATCACGACACAGAGGCGAGGATACGATATATACGCTGACGTACAGCAGTATTCTGATGTACTAAGATACCTCAGGCCTGATGAATATCAGCGTTAACTGTAACTTCTGTATCAGATGCTCCGCGTTTGTCTGCAGCTCTAGTTTTTTTATTTTATTTTTTTATCAGGCTGCTCATCATCTGCCGCCTTGAGCAGGAACAAATGACCTGGAACCTACAAGAAAAATCCCATTTCATTCAGAAGTGAAGAGTGTGACCCTGCGTCACCTCACAGCTAACAGTACATCCCAGCGAACACGCCTGTTTCTAATGGTCACAGCAGGACTGGTAATCACACTCTGGTGTGTCAGCAAGGTCAGAGGTGAGAGGTCAGGTGGTTGAACTGGAGTGAAACAATATTTCTGTTCACTGCAGCAGCAGCAGCTCTGTTTTCTGTAGCATCGCAGCTGTGGCTTAGAAATGTTAGAAGTGGTTAGCTTTTTTGTCTTACAGCAGTAAGGTCAGTGGTTCGAACCCCGGCTCTAGCTTCTTTCTGTATTTCTTTGTTTTTAGTCTTCTCCTGTTCCGCCAGTTTGTGTGTGTGTGTGTGCCCACAGTCCAAGCTCAGGCAGATTATTGATTAGGTTTATGTCCATTCTAAATTGACCGTAGGTGTGAATGTTAGTGTGAAAGGTTGTCGGTGTAAAGGAAGAAGAGTGAAGGTGTTGGGTGAGACGGAGGCAGACCATCTGCTCCACCGACCCCTGAAGGAACCACTTTATACAAGAAGAATTTGAATGATCATAAAACCAGACTGTGAACGTGGTTTTGGTTCCATGTGATGTTTTTCACTGACCGGCCCAGGTGATAATAACCAGGCGTAAATGTGTTTTCTTTTTGTTTTCTTATGTTTACCACAAAAACACTCGGTCACAAAGAAGAGTCAACACAGCTCCATCTGTATTTAATTAGAAATAGGAGGAGAAGGAGAGAAGTGGCCACAGCTGTGAAAAGTCCCATTGATCCGAGTGCAGTTAAATGTATCTTCAGTCTCGGAGACGGAGTGTGTTTTCATGTTGTGTTCCATTAACTCCACACTTCTGTTTGCTTCTCTACTTTTTAATGAGTCCATCATGTTTGACATGATGAATAAGAAAGATTTTTTTTTTTAGAATGACCAAAATGATGGTGCAGTGAGAGCTTTTACCTGATCTTTAATGTTCTTTAAAGCCACTTCAGTGAGACGACAGATTTAGAGAAATGTGTTATTTTATTTCACGAGTGTTTACCATGACGATGAAAACGTTTGACAGAGAAGTTGGATACAAAATTATTTTTAGTGTATGTGTTAAAAGAACGTGTTCAGAAACTTAGATTTTTTAAGCTTTGGTGGCTCTGTGGCGCTGTCCGTGGTGCTGACTGTGGCTCAGTTCCGTCTTTGACCGTTAGTGGTGCCGGCTTCAGAGCTGTCCTTGGTGCTGAACTGGATTTCTTTCCATTCCTTCAGTGTTAGTTGCTTATTTGTTAGCCATGCGATATTTATTTTCATGATACAGTTTCTATACTCCACAGCTCTGTGTTGATTCTTTTAATGAACAATTGACAATTGATATTCATGCTTTTAGTTTATTTTGCCTATAGTATTGCAGTGCATCCTAATAGTAAATTTATTCCTCTATTTAAGGACGTCATTCTATTACCAACAGACTGTCTCATTAGAAACATCAGAAAAGTAGTAACAGATTAATGTGCCTCATCTCAGATTACCCCTTCTTTTTGTATAGAAGTTAGTATTAATGTGAGTTTTTTTTTCTTTGTCCTTTCACTTTTCTTTGCTCTCTACCTTCAGGTTTACAAAGTCAGTCTTCACGGTCAGTCCTTTCTTCCTCACTGTAGTGTGTCTCTCTTCTCCTCCCTGCAGCGAGGCCAGGGTTAGGACTGTGTTGAGGGCACAACTCTCTATTAATAAGACATACTGTCACAGAATTTCTGTCTCGGTCAGATCACAGAAAGGAAACTCTGCCTCGGGCTAATGCACAGATAATACTGGCACAGGAGGCCGAGGACAGGCTGGAGCCGCAGACCTTTGCTGCTTTTACACAGACAGTTCACGGCCAGGAGTGTTGCCCTGCTGTTGGGGGGCGGGGAGGGAGGGTTGGCGACTCTGATACGTGACTTATCACTGCCTCACAGTCTTCACTCCCAGTATGATCACACAGAACAGCAGCAGCAGCACGGTGGCATGTTTGAGAAGAGAGGACATTACTGTGACTCTGAGACCCAGGCAGGAGAAGGTCTGCGTTGATGAAATCAGCAGGTTGTCTGATGGTAAGACTAGTGATGGTCTAAAGATCTGAGGTTTGTTGTCAGTGTCACAGGGAGCTGCAGATAAAGGAGGAGAATCAATGAACGCAGGAAAATCAAAGGACGAAAGAGGCTTTAAAGACGTGCAGCTCTGTTGGTCTGAAATGAAAAAGAGTGAAAATGTAAAGACGTGTCCGTCTGTCTGAGCAGTGATTTACAACCTCCCCACTTTCTTTTCTTTCTTTTTTTCCTTTACCAATTCAGACCTTGTATTTTTGTAATTACTGACTTTCAGAGTAAATGTTTTTTGCCAAGCTGAAAATATTGGAACATGGTAGAAATAAAGGCACTGCTGCTTTATTTATGACCAGAATTCCCATTAAGGGATCATTATTATTTAGTGCTCCTCTGCTGTCTAACAAGAGATAAAAGCTGATGACGCTGGTGAAAAGTCTGAAACTGTTGCTGCGTCTCCACAGCACATTCTGATTGAGCGTCATTGTGATGGTAATTCTGTCACCTCTAATGGACGATGAGATGTGCCTGCAGATAGAGAGTAACAATCCCTGCCTTCTAATTACCTCAGCAAATGGTGTGTTTGCTGCGGCGCCCGAGGATCACTGGAGCTGTGAGACGGAGAGAGTGTGAAGGTGAAAGAGGGCAGTTGTTGTTAGTGAACTCCTATCCTTTCTGATAAAGCACAGATGGATGAGAGGTTGTGAGAAGGTTCTCCGAGGAAGGTCCACACTCTGCTCTTTGGGCCGATATCGTTTGTATTCCAGCAGTTGAAGCTCAGTGTTTTTGGTGGTCTCAGCTCGGATTCAAGGTCGAGTCTGAGCTGCAACAGATTAAATTTGGTAAAAGTGTTGTGGCCCCATCTTCTAACAGATGTTCTGACCCCGCTCTCAGTCTCTGCTGACACAGTGGACCTGTCTGACCTGTTCTGGACAAAAGCAGACTTTTATCTGAACTCGCATCTCCAGCTGAGTGACAGACGGCACTCTGTGGCGCTGTCCACGGTGCTGTCTGTCGTGCCGTACCTGGCGCTGTCCACGGTGCTGTCTGTGTCCTCTTCATCTCGTCCTTTTTTTCCCCTGATAGTTGTTGATTTTACATTTCAAAGACAAAACCTCGAGCCGGTCAACATCTTCACCACCTGCTCTTGTTTTTCTCTCTTTATTGTTGTTATCCACTCCTGCTGATCTGGCTGATGTCTGCCGTCCACTACATCAGGAGTTTTTCTTCTCCCAAATTGTTGGCTGTGTCCAATGTTTGTTAAATGGCTGTGGTTGATTGCCCTCCTGTTGTCTGCACTCTCTGCTCCTCACATGGGCCTGCGGTGGCACACAATAAGGTGTTCACACTGATAAGGAGTTTAACGTAGACCTTACACAGACCTGCGTGATCCAGGCAACATTACAAACTTTGCTGTTTTAACTACATTTTAAAATAATTCATAGGAAGTAAACTTCAAAGCTGGAATATAAAAAAAATCAGTCTTTTTTTGTTAAAAACCATCTTTGGAGGCAGTCTCACTGTCCAAAACCCCAGGATGCTGAGATGTTCACTGGGAGTCACCTGGATGGACAGGACCAGAGGGACCGTTAAGGTGGCGCAGTTTGGAGATGATGTTAGAGCGGGGAGGTGGAGAAGGTGGAGGTGTTGGACAGAGGATGTTGGAAATGGAGGAGACCTTTAGGTTGGTTGGTGAAGAAGAAAATGACTTTGAAGAAGGTGAAGGTGAAGCTGCAGATCAGTCAGATCCTTTAATGAAGTTAATTGAGCAGTTTGAAAACTGATGATAGTTTTTTTTTTCCATGTCACTGCTGTGGAAAAAAAGCTCATTATACCAAAGTTAATTGAATGTGTCTTTGATATTAAATAGGTAATAAACAGTTACATCCCCTCAAATTTAATTGTGCTTTCAGAGCTAAGAGACTGCAGCTAATAACTTCATTAACACACAACTTTATAGTGACTCCTGCACCACAACAGAGTAAAGTTTTTCTTAACCTGCAGAGGAATAATAATGAAAATTAAAGAGACAGGGCAGTAAAGATCTTCTACAGCAGAGGTCGCCAACAACCAGCCCTGAATCAACGAAGAAAAAAAAAAATTACGGTTTATTTTTTATACTGATTATTGATTGTTATAAAAGAAAAAAATGTTTTTTATATATATACTGTTATATTTCGTACAGGATTAAATGTTCAGTTTCTTCACCCGTTAGGTGCTGAGTTGCTGTACCGTGATCGTGACGGAGACGTGGTGAAGTACAATGTGGACACAGAGGAGAGGACCGTCCTGGTCACCAACAAAAAGTTTGTGAGTATCTTCACCAGCACAAGGCAAGACAGAGATGTCGATGAAAGACTACAGCGAGACAAATTAGAAGATGTTTTCAGGGGGTCAGCTCATCACATGACCTGCAGTGAGTGTGGTGTCGAATGGAGGTGTGTGTGAAAAAGATGTTCACATACAGATGCAGCTTCATCTTCGTCATCGATGCGATCGCCTGCGGGCCGCGGCGGTGCGCTCCTGTTGTCGTCTCAGGCCGAGGAAACGCAACATTATGTTTGTTATCAAACCTCCGTCACCAACGCTCTGCTGCAGAGATTAATGCTGCTCCCATTTCCTCCAGGAACTGAACAATCTGTCAAAGACACTCTTCTAATGAGGAGTCTAATGAAAAAATAGCACGCTTGGTTAAAGGTCTCATCTTTGTCTCTCCCCCAACCCCCTCTCTCTCCTACCTCCCCCTTCCTTCTCTTGTTCTTTCTCAACCTCAGGAGATGTACAAGGCCAGTAAATACCAAGTGTCACCTGACATGAAACATGTGCTGTTGGCCTACAACGTCGCTCCGGTGAGTGGGGTTTTTTTTCTTTCTTTTTTTTATGAGCAAAATGACAAATAACTGATCTGTCAAGATCTGTTTTAATGATCTGAGTGACTTCTGTTCAAATGTTCCTTTAAAAAAAAAGTACCAAAAAGACCCACGTCTCTCTCTCTCCTGCTCTCTCTCTCTCTCTCTCTATCTGTCTTCAGATCAAACATGTTCTCCCCTGCTTCTGTTTTTATACATTTATTATTTCACTTCACAGTGACAGGAGAATCTCTCTCTCACACACACACACACACACTGACAGACAGACAGCAGAGTTTCCATGTGAACCGACACACGATGACGATGAATCTCCTGAGAACTGAATTTTAATAATTCAGGATGAGTTCAAAAATCCTCTGTTTGTTCAGTGCTCTAAAACCCACAGCTGTAGGAACACACCTGTGTGTGTGTGTGTGTGTGTGTGTGTGTGTGGCAGTTCTGAACATGAATGTTTTCAAAAACAATGCCACAATTTATAACCTTTGAAAACTCATACATTTTTTTTAAAGTATTTTCAATGTGATTCTGTGTCGACTTCATTGTTTTTTTTTCATCCTTGGAGAGAACAGAATTTTTTTTTTGCCACTGCGCTGAATGATTTTTCTCTTTCTATGTGTTTTTTTTTTTTTTTTCAGGTTTACCAGTTTTCATACACAGCCTTTTACATCATCTGCAGCCTGGAGACACCGTGAGTTCAGCTCTGTGTCATTATTTACACCTGACTTTGTCGTCCTTTCTGTTGTGAAGTCATTAACAGCAGCACCTTTTACACACACACACACACATCTGTTTTTGTGTTTGAACTTTAGGGAGACATGGAACCTGAACCCCCCCGAGGTGAGAAACGCCCAGCTGCAGTACGCAGGCTGGGGCCCACGTGGACAGCAGCTGGTGAGAACACACTTTGATTTTTTTTCTAATTTTAGATGTTTATATTTTTAATAATCTCTGATTTAAACTTGTATTTTATTCAGTGTTCAAACAGGGTTGACGGTTCAAATCTCTGGTCACCGCTCCTGTTTTATTGATGGCTAAAACATATTTCAGTGTGTATGCATCAAATATGTATTCCGATATTTGCTGCCACCTGGTGGTAATTCTAATTATTTAGTTTGGTGTTTACTAATTTAAAAATAGCTCTAGTTTTTTTTTTTAAACTCTTTACCAGTGGAGTAATTACATGTGTCTTTAGTGACGTGTCTTCACTCTGGTGTTGACGGAGACAGTTTCAGTCAAACCACAACGTTTCTGACTCGGTGAATATTCAGGCTCGAGATCCAGAGTTTCCCTGAGTTGACTGTGAAGAAGCTGTTTGTTTCACTTTAGCACCAAATTGACCACAGACTGTGAACCAAGTACAAAAGGGTAAAAACATCAAAGTGACTTTCATTGACCAACGACTCAGAGAAAGTGGAATTTAAAGCTGATTTCTCTTAATCACCTGCTCCACTGCCTGTTCTCCATTGGTCCACTTCGTCAGATGGATTCTGCTGTGATGGATGAACCCACTCCACAGCTGCACTGTGGTCTGATCTAATGGAAACAACATGGCCATGTTGCTGCTCTAATCTGAGAGTCAGAGGGAAAAAAGCAGCCGTGTTTTCACAGCAGGCGTTTCAGAAGTCACAGATGAAAGGAAACAAATACATATTCACTTTTTTCTTTTTTTCATATTTTTCTGTCCTTTTACTTTTCGTTGTCATTCTAGTGTGAAATAAGTTTGTGTCCTTGAAGCAGTGCATGAACAAGTCTTCTGTCCCTCGGGGTGCGTCCCATTATTAGAGAGATTGTTCACCAAACAGAGTTTAAATTAAAACCACTGTTGTTTAAATCAAACCAACACGAAGTACCAGTCCTGGAGTCGACTGAGTTCCCCTGAGACGAGCCTTCATCATCATCATCATCTTCATCATTTTTATGACCTGGTCCTCTGTCTGACCAGTGCCCAGGTCTTCTTCTTCGTCTCTTCCTCTCTGTGTCTCAGGTCGTCTGTGCTGCGATGCTGTTAATTGTCTGTGATCTCATGGTAGATTCATTAACGCAGACCTTGCTCTGATGGAGCCTCAGGTTCTGATCTATTCATCAGAACGTAGTTAAGATGTCAGGAGCTGCAGCTGTCCTCACATTTTCATTAACGCACAGATGGAGACATGATCTCACAGAAACAAACAAGCAGAGACAACAACGGTCAAAAACAACACAACGGCACGTGTTCAAATCAGCTTCAATATTCCGTCTATCAATATTTATAACACACCTGGAACCGACACCTGCAGCTCTGACTCCACCGCAGAACTTCATGACATCATGTAGCTGTTGATGAATGTCTTCATGAACCCAGTGTCAGCAGGTCTGCAGCTGGAGGCCCAGGTCGGTCTCTGCAGACCTGCAGCTCCTAACTCTCGGCTCTTTCTCTCTAATAGTCTGAGATTGATTCCTGCTCAGCATTAAGGCCGTGGTGTTTGAAGATTCAGCCCTGAGAGCTGCTCTGCTGCTGCTGCTCATCATCTTTTATTCCCTGTAATGAAAGAGTTGACCTTCATTTATCTTCAGTGCCCTGCAGCTCTGTGGTGGAGGAGTCAGAAAGTCAGAATCCGGACCTGAGCTTTGACACGTTCTATAACAAAAGCAATGACCCCAGACCACCTCCTCGTCTGTAGTTGATTTTGGTTTAACTCTGATGAAATTCCCTGTGATTGACAGGTGTCAAAGCTCATGTCCTTAGCCCAGGTAGCCCCCCCCCTTTACACCAGACGTTTTGACAGTTCGATCAGGTGAAGGTCTGACCTTCAGGGTCAGCTGCAGGTCATCAGACCTCATGAGAACTCTGTTTCTAACTCAGAGTCTATGTAACAGAGGAAAATGTCTCCAAAGTTTCAGTTTCGTCTTTAATCCTTGGTTTCTGTTCTTGTAGATCTTCATTTTTGAGAACAACATCTACTATCGCTCCACAGTGGAGAGTCGCTCCATCAGACTGGTCTCCACCGGGAAGGAGGGCGTCATCTTCAACGGGCTCAGTGATTGGCTGTATGAAGGTAAGGCTTATTATGGTGTTTGTTTGTTTGTTGTGTGTGAGTGGCCTGAGCCGCCGCTGCTGCTGATGCTGACAATCTTTCACGAGTCTAAACCTATTCTCAGCCATTTAAGGCTAATCAGCATCATCATAGCTTACGACCCCTGACCCATATTTATGGCCCAGCGTTGATTTAGCTGCTCATTGATGAAGCAGCTAAATCTTCAGTGGGCGATAAAACGGAATCATCCGTAATCCTTCAGCCGGAAATAAATCATCAGAAATTCAGCCGTCAGGTGTCGGAGTGATTCCAAGTTTGATGGTAGACATGTGATCATAACATCAGCTGATAGGCTGCTCTGTGATGCTTTTATTGATCTGACCCAAACAACGGAGAGAAAAAACTCTCTCTGGGCTGTACGATTCACAAATAATAGTTTGTTGTTTTATATAAATCTAATGTTACTTGCTTCGTGTGCTAGCATCTAGTGTTAGCATGTTTTAGTAGCCTGCTAGCCAGTAGCCAGTGGGTGGCGTGTTAGTTCCACGATAGTAAATGTGTGTTTATTTGGAGAGTCATTCGTCACCAAGGTTGGCTAAGCTAACTCTGCTAACTAGGGGTGTGTATTGGCATGAATCTGGCGCAATGATATGTACACAAAGAGATGGGACTTGAATAAAGTCCTAGTTCATAGAGTTGGTGTAATGTGGTTAGAACAGACTGCAGCTGCAGGGAGGCTGGGCCGGGCTGTGTAGTGTTGTTGCTGTTCAGCAGTCAGGCTGCGGGGCAGATGGTTTACCATGTTAATGAGTCCGACTCCGGTCTGTGGTCAAGGTCAAACTGAGACTCAGACTGAGGCTCTGGAGAAATCAGCGCTTAATCTCTGCCTGTGGCTGAGCTGCAGATGTGATGGTGGAAGGTGAGAGGTTGATGAATAATCTTTCAGGACACTCTCCACGTCTTCATCAGTAAATGTGCACCTGTTTCCTCATCCTGCAGCAGCAGCGCTGACGGATAGAATATACTTTAAAAAACCAAACTGAAAAAATGGCGGTGCTGTGTGAGCAGGCGTGTGTGTGTGTGTGTCATCTGTCGTCTGTCTGATTACCACGTCTGCCTGAGTGAGACGTTCTGCTGCTGCTGCCGTGACGCAGCCTGAGGAAACAGATGTTTATGAGACTCTGCTGCTCAGATAAATAAAAACGTGGCATCGCTTTGATTTGAGTCACATTTCTGCCCCGTAGATGTTTGCTCTGATGTCTGTTTGTTTGGAGGCTCGTCTGTGTTTATGACTGTGTTTGTGCCTGCAGCCAGCAGGACAGACACACAAGATCAGAATAAAATAAAAAAAACATAAGTGAACTATAAACAGACCAAGTTGGCAAAGGGAATACATGTGTTTGATGTGGAAACAGACTGAAAATGATTTGATGTTTTGAAACAGTTTTGAAACAAACCTCAGGCTGTGGTTTCTGCTGATTTAAATAATCAGTGAGATCGTTTTGGTTGTTGATAAAGATTACCGTTTTTTTCCCTTCACCTAAAATACAATTACTCTGTTTGTTTTTACTTGAATGAAACTTCTAAAATACTAAATGATGACATCCGTTAACGAATACATTACAGCTAAGCCTTCCTGTTGCTGAAATGAGTCACAGCTGCTTTGTTTATGGGGTGAAGGTGTAACACTGCTGCCCTCTGTTGGACAGACGTAGGAAATCATTTCTGTTCAAGTCAGTGTGAATGCTGATAAATGACGTCACAGCACAGTTGATGGATTCTCTCTCTGCGTATCTCTGCCCTCGTGTTGACATCAAACATCAGCTCCTGGTCCACAGGAGGAAACTCCTGCCTCCTTCTCTGCTCCTCATTAGCTCGGCATCTTTGACTCACTCTGTCGCCCGGCTCTCATTATTTCTCACTGTCCGCTTGACACACAGTGTCTCCTACATTAATCATATGCTGCTCTTAGCAGAATGAGGGGAGGGGGGAGAGGGGGCTCTCACAACTCACCCTGAAAAAAGTCTTCACAGTGAAGCTGCAGGAGGAAGGAGGGACGACAAAATCCCATTACACCCACCAAACACACAGACACACACACACACACAGACACATTGTCCTTGCTTCATTAACAGTCTCTTTATCAGTGTGTTCTCTTTGCTCCGTGACAAGTCCAAGGTGACAGGGTTTTCCCAGGGTTGGCTTCGCACGGGGGGTATTTGGAGTAGCTGCTGTTTGGAATTAAAGGCAGTGATGGAAGTGGCCTCACAGGGAATTTTTTTTTTGTCCTTCTGTGATGTAACCTTAAAACCATCAGGCAGAGAAAACCAATTATTCAGCCCAGTGGGTTACAGGTGGGCACAGCAGGTGAAGCAGAGAAACAAACACGGCGCGGACGGGTGAAGTAAAACAAGCACTGAGGTGTTCGAAGATCAGCACCAGAAATTAGTCAAAGAAAAAACTGGAAGGTCCTTGTAAATGAAGGCAATGTTTTTTAAGCATCAGTTTAAAAATAATAATTCCAAGAAGCAAACATAGGTTCAGGCATCGCTTCAGACATTCTATAAAAGTGACTCCAACGTAGGAGAAGATGAGCCTAAATACAGACATGAAGATAAAACCACATTTTATTGCAATATGGCAAATAATTATCCTGAAGCTCTAGGAGACTTGAGTTAAGTTTAACTTAAAGTCAAGTTAAATTAGTCAAATGTCAAATCTTCACACTCGTACTGTGTAGAACAAACAAACATCTGTGCTGCTGTTGATTATTATCAGTTGTATAATTGTGTGTGTGTGTGTGTGTGTCTGTTAATGAAAATGATAATTGCTGTTTGATGTCTGTGACTTTTCCCCACAGGCAGCAGCAGCAGCAGGTCCTGAACATAAACAGCATCAGTGAATTTTTAATTTCTTACGTTGATACAGAGTCGGCCCGAGGCGGAGTCTGACGAGGAGCAGAACTGTTTTAATTTCAGCTGCACATGACCACAGCCAGGCCCGACTCTGGGGTTTGTCACAAAGTTCTCCTCCGAGAGTTTTAATCTGCATATTTTAATCAGAGAGCGAGAGAGAGAGAGAGAGAGATAGTACACAACACTGTGTAGATGTGAAACTCACTCCATGTGTGTTTGATAGACGGGTTACAGAGAGGATTTCAGGCACACACTCACACTCTGCTGTGCCCCTGAACGCATCACCAGACCTGGGCTCACGTCTTTGTTCTTATTTTAGTAAAGAAACGTCTATGGTCTGAGCTCAAATCTGAGATTTTCTCCATGGACTTTGGCGTGGCAGAGTGAGCTGTTTACAGGCAGTTTGTTTTAAATCAGTAATGGGACAAATGTCCAAGTCCACACAACTCTTTAAACACACATACACACACACAGACAGGTAACTACAGGTCATTAAAAACTCCTATTTAAATGTCGCTCTGTGCCTGTATCTGCTGAGGAGACAGGTCTGGAGTCAGACTCTGGTCTGGTTCCAACTGATTCTCTCAGAATAGTCTGTGATGATTAATGGTCTTTGAGTTCACTGCTGTGCGTGTGTGTATGTGTGTGTGCTACAAAAAGATAAGACGCTGAGTCGGCAGTTACTTTGAGCCTGAACAGAAAAATAGAACCAGGTCAGACATGATGCAGTGAACACAAGTGGAATATTTTTGGAAACATTTTTGAAATATTTATGTTGGTGACGTTTTTTTTTTTTCTGCAGTCAAAACTGCGACGGAACATTAACAAACGGTTCCACACGTCCTATAAAATGGGGTCACTGTTTCCAGCACCTGACGGAGGAACCCAGTGGTGGTTCTGCTGCAGTAATGTGTTGATGACTGATGACAGATTTTGACCTGATTCTCCTTCTCGTGCTCACTCTCACAGAGGAGATCTTCCGCTCCCACGTGGCTCACTGGTGGTCCCCTGATGGAGCCCGGCTGGCGTACGCCACCATCAACGACAGCTTGGTTCCCAGGATGGAGCTGCCCATGTTCACAGGAACGCTCTACCCCATGGGGAAGGAGTATCACTACCCTAAGGTACACGCTTACACCACCAGGGGGTGTAGTTTTGTAGATGGACTTGGTGTGTTGTAGATCTTTGGTCAGCTCTTTTCTTTTTCTATTTTCCTTCAGGCCGGTGAGGAGAACCCTGTCATCACTCTGTACGTGGTGAACCTGAATGGACCTCTCCACACCATCCAGATGAGGAAACCCGAGGACCCCCGGATAAGGTGGGACGTCTCCAATGTGGAGACTCTACACCCACATCTTGGTAAAATGAGACTTGGTACTGACGATCAAATCAGACTCTTCCAAGACTGGACCACAGATTAACAACCAACCGGCCTTGGACCAGACCGCGGTCCCCAGGTCTTTTTCCCATCGCATACAGTGATGGGAAACATTAAAAATGAGGCAGGAAACTACGTAGATTTAACTGTAGCTTCACATTTAAAGATGATGATGATGTTTTCATTATAATCAAACATTTCACAAGTGAAATAAACCTCTTTCGTCTCCAGTTCAAAAACCTTTTCAGTCGAAACCACCACTGAACTCAATCATCTCCGTTTATTCTGCCGGAGTCTCTGCTGAGACCGATGAATATTTAAAACCTTCTAAATGACTCAGTAAGTTTCAGGAGCTCAGTGCAAATCAGCAGTTCTAAGTGTCAAGTCTGCTGAGGTTCCATGGAGAGGAATCTGTTTCCACAGCAGGTATTTTCTGCTAGTCAGAGGAATAGTCGTAGAAACAGATTTTTTTAGCCTTTTTTCATGACCAGTGTTTGACTCGGTCACAATGATTGTTTGAGTTCATGGATAAAAAGGTTAGACTTTTGTTTGGCCAATCAAAGTCACCTGAACGACATGTTCTGTTCTGTTGATTTAAAGTCATTCTGGCTAAAAATGGCCAATCAAAGTCGCCTGAACGACATGTTCTGTTCTGTTGATCAGAACCACACAGTGACATACAGTATCTGACTTAGGCACAGTGAAAGATCTTGAACTTACCCCCCACCCCACCCCACCCCCTTTGTGTTTGGTATTGAGTACTACGTGACCATGGTGAAATGGGCCACCAGCACCAAACTGGCCATCAACTGGCTGAACCGAGCTCAGAACATCTCCATCCTCACGCTGTGTGAAGCAACAACCGGAGTCTGCACCAAGGTGAGAGCAGAGAGTGAAGCTCAGAGTCTCACAGAGTTTACAGTGAGCAGGGGGGTGTGGGAGGAGGGGTGAGGAGGGGCGGGGGGCAACATCTGGTCCCTGGGATTGATCATCCATCTGTTCATCCATTCATCCAGATGTAGTTCCTTCACCATCAGTGATGAAACCTCTGTACAGTCTGAGGAGGAGCTGATGGACCACAGGGACTTTGATGGTTTCCAATGAAGGGTCCTTGAAATCTTTTGAAGACCCTTGACAGTATGGGAACCTAAACTTTGTCTCTTTTTTTTCAGAAACATGAGGATGAAAGTGAAGGATGGTTGCACAGACAGGTGGGAATCTTCATCTCTGTCTTTTATCACTAAATGATAGCTTTCATAAATTGTTCATCACTTTGGGTTTTTTTTTATGACAAACTCCTGTCTGTTTTTCTAGAATGAAAAACCTCTTTTTTCCAAAGACGGTCTGAGGCTCTTCTTTACACGGGCCATTCCTCAAGGAGGCAGAGGAAAGTTCTACCACATCTCCATGTCCGTCTCCCAGGTAAAAGAACAACAATCAGTATAATTCTATAAATAAGAGCCAAAAAAACGGAGAGTGAGATTTCATATATGGACACAATAGTGAGGTTAAAGCATTAAACAATGACAGACAGAAACTCCCTGCTCTGTACTTTTCTAGATGATGAGTAATGCACGTCTTAAAAAATAATAAAAAGCTGTTTTTGTTGTTTTTATCCACTTTAGGGTTTGTTTGTTTTTTGTTTTTTTACATCTGCCTCACATTTAATGTCTGTTTTTATTTCTCCTCACACCTGAAGCCCAACACCAGCAGTGACACACTGCAGTCCATCACTTCTGGAGACTGGGATGTAACCCAGGTCCTGGCCTACAATGAGGAGAGTCAGCTGATGTGAGTGTAGATTGTCAATCATTTTAACCACAATCACAGAGATTCAGGACCACGGAGAGAGACATGGAAGTCACAGACTGCTTTTTTGATTTTTTTTTTGCACCAATGCAGTAAAAAGCTGTTAGTGTCATGGACAGCAGTATAACAGGTAAATGTTATGTCACTGCAGATGCGTCCATTTTAGTGCTCGGTTCACAGTGTGGACTGAGACACTTGATGTTACACCACAGTGCAGTTGCTGCCTGAAAATAAAAAGCTTTAAGATAAGTCATGTTAGTAACATACACTCTAGCCTCGACACAGACGGAAGAGTCTTAATGTTTCTCTAACTTC